ACTTCGAAAACAAGTAAGTTATTCACTTGAGACCAGCAGCATGGCCGGATCGCGCTACCGTTATGTGATCATTTGCTACTAAGCAGTGCATTCGTGTTTTTATTTGAAACTTCTGTTAGAATATACTTTTCGTTACCAAGAAAATTAAAAAAAATAAATGCATATTACATTAAAAATACTGAGTATTTTTTGTATCATGTAGAATTTTTTTTTGATCGTAATTTTTCAACATTTCGTAACGCCTATTTTAGAACCAAAATAAGGCCTTTCACTCTTCCCCGACGCCTATTCAAGAGATTGTACGGTGTATTGTTTGTTTTGTGCATGTGTTGTGGACAAAAAATGACCACGCCCATTTAGTGATTGCAATATGTACGTAATAGAAACTGCACCCCGAACTTGAGCTTTTGATCCCAATTTTTAAATTGATACATTGTAATATAAACCGCGGTTTATAATAGGACTTTAACGGTAGCCAATATCTATTTGATAAAATACATAAAAATAGGATTAATGATGTACCAAACTTTTGTTGAAAAAAATGATGACACTCAAAACGTTAAGCAAAACCATTTTGGTGAACATAGATAAATTTGGTTTTACTGAAACAAGGACAGGCTCACTTTTTCAGTCTATTATAAATATTTTGGTGATCTATTTTTAGCTGGTCTGTGGTCCATGGTGACATTGGGTTATGGTGGACGTAGTGCACCACCAGATGACGAGGACAGAGCCATATTAGCCAATCAAAGTCTGTTGTTATTATTGGTGTTAGCCAATCATTATACACATGAGAAGGGAATGCATAATCCTTATAGACAGGCATTGTGTACATTTGGTAATTTGCAAGGTAAGACTCGTCAAAAACATATTCAGCACTCAAGTAAAAGATAGATTCTAAGGATTCAGTATACAATAAATACAGTTCTTTGGTTGATGTGTACTTCTTTCGGTGATGCACTTCTAAGAAGATGCAATGTTAGAGACAACATCAAAAGTTCAATGTAGAATAAAAAACTTAATTCCTTTAGTTTCCCCCCCCCCTACCCCCCACTGAAACTTAATTGATAAATATTGATCATGGAGTCAGACTACATTCACCATTAAATACAAATTGATAATTGGACAGTAGTATGGCATAGCAGTTTGTTGTCAGGTGAGTGTTAAGACTTTACAAATGCGCTAATAACAAAGAAAAACATATATTACACTCGCACCATTTTCTTGTCTTGGATGTTTCTTTTTTTTTAGCTCCGCTGTCGACTTTGTCGAGCGGAGCTTATCATATGAGTGATTGTCCGTCTCCGTCGTCGTCGTCCGTGTCAATGTTTTACTTTTTCGACTTCTTCTTGAAAACTACAAGCCTGAATGCTTTGATACTTGGTGTATATGTACCTTG